ACCTATTGAAAAAATGCAAAATTATTTCCGACTGGCAAACCCGTTCAACCCGCTTTACACTTGTAGCGAGTGTTTTTGCATTGTTTGTACGATCACGTATTTCATTTTGGTGCGGCCGGCGAACGGTGATTATGTAAATTCCACTCGCGAATCACATAAATCGTTTCATATTTTATCACTTTTTTGCATAATATATTTTGTGTAAGCTGACGATCAGTCAGCGCCCGTCAGCGATGAAAGGTGGTTTTTAAAATATGATTTATCAACTTTTTCTTACCGACACTTGATTCGCAATTTCCTTTTTTGTTTGTGTGAAATATTCTATCTCATTGACAGAAATAATAGATTTCTATAAAACAAAACAGAATTTTCGAAAAAACAAGGTTGTACATGTTATTTATTAAAATGTACACAATAAAATGCAATTTGTATACTTTGTATTCTTTGCTTAATTTGAATTATGGTGTCCAAATTTCGTGTTTGAAGACAGTCAAGGATGTTAGTGATCATTTTTATCAGTGTCTTAGGTGGAAACTGCAGGAGGATAGCATGGAGGTGTTCAGTGCGTATTTATCACTGAAAAAACAGAAATTTCACTGTTTTTTTTAATAATACCAAGTGATGGGACGAATAATTCGTGCGCCTGGTGGTAAGCGACACGCCTATCCATAACAGTTGCAGTGCCATTTAGAGCTTTAAATTGCGAAAATGTTATGGGCACTGCCACTGCACCCGTCATCCTGAGACATAAGTTGACAATTTTGCCTGTAATTTAATCGGCACCCTTACCCTTCTAAACCGGAACGCAATAATGCTCTCATTACTGCTTGGCGGCAAAAATAGGTAAGGTTGCAGTATTTCTGTGGACGAACTATTTCACTAGAAGCTCTACTGCTACTATAGTATTCGATACCAGCTCATGCTAATGGACAATGAATAATGAAACTATTTTTTCGTATCTATTCGGTCAGTCTGCCGTGTTCATGGGACCTGTCAAGAGTTCGAAACGTTGACGACAGCTCCGACAAAAAAGGTTATCTACTCCTGTATTTTACAATTTCATAAACCACAAAGATCTTTAAACAAAGGCCCTCTTTAAAGTTCTGAACAAAATATCCATTGTCTGAGGTACTCGCTACTGTACTGAAAAATTTAATTATGATTCTATAAACAGAACTATAATGAGTTTCAAAAAAAGAACGTCGTATGTTTGGCAATTTAAACATCAAATATAACGCTACGCAAACATTCTACTGCCTTCTGATTGGTTAAAATATAAGCGGTAATTATCCAATTACAGACACTTCTATCTCTTTGGTTTTTTATTTTGTAGCATTTGTTTGGCTTTCGTTGGGCATTCGTTTGAGTTTATTGTCGTGGATTTGGAGTTTCAATTTTTAATTAAAGAATTTTTATATCTTATTTCTCTTTGACTCTTCAAGCCCATTCTTTTCTTCATGTCATTTATCTTGGAGTCTTTGTTTGGATTCTTTTTTCTCCTAAAAATGGAGTCTAAAACCACGACAAAGACACGATAAATAACAGCAGTAACTTAATAATCTTTAAATATTGGTCGTGTTCATTATTTTAATTTACTCGTAGAAAAAATATTGTATGCAATCATTACATAATCAGGTCTTCTCGTACCTATTATTACTTAGCCACTTGGCAAAATCTCGAGACCTAAACACGACACTCGAGTTTAAGAACCATCATGCAACGATAGCATAATAGCACGTTATTGAAGAAGCCAGGAAGTAAAGGGTTACTGGACAAGTATGAGTTACAAGGTTGAGCGCCAGCGAGGTCGCGTATTAACATGAGTGAAGCGATCCCCGTTCCCGCTGAGGTTTATATAGTGCTTTTCTAAAACAATGTAAATAAAAAATAAAAGACTAAAAAGAGAAAGATGTATATTAGAAAAAGTTACAAAATATTAATTAAGTAATATCAAATGTAATATATTTGACACGTTAGGACAATTTTGCTGACAGAAAATATTATTGTTTTTCCAGGCTTAGAATAATAACGCATAGAATGATAGTTTCATAAAAAACGAACTGTCACAAGTGAGGCAAAAATCAATTTCATGTAGGCGTAAGCAACTTGTATTTACGCTCGTCGGCACGCACACAAATATACAAATAATGATGCCATGGAATAACATTTCACTCAAAAGTGGGGAAATTGTATCTTGCTTAACTCATCGTTAAGTTAGAGGTGCCTACAGATTTGCTCGATTTTGTCAATCGTTACTGTTGATCGACAACGTCAAGTGACAGGAATTTTCAAAAATTTATTTTTGGTAATCCTTATGGAAATGGCACTTATATGTGTTATATTCTCGCAATTACGGACACTGGGCAATTGGCTGTATGAGCTTTTCTTTTGCCTGTTTACATATGTAGTTCATTGTTAGTAGATAACTTTAAAAGTTTAGAGCTGCGGTCAGTTATAGATTTTCATAATTCACGCCAAGGTCGAGAAGAAGTTGCACGGTCCATAAATGACAAACTTTCCGTGTTTGTTTTTTGAACGTAACGCAAACATTTCCGAGCCATGTTTTAGAAAAATACTATTCATTTCCAATGTGTAGCAATCGCAAAAATACAAGAACTCGTTATTTTAATAACCTTACATTACTGTTTTGTGTTTACTTAGTACTAACTATTAATGTGCAATTTTCAATAGTGCATTAGTTCAACAGCGATTTAAGTTTAACCACATTATGTGTTTATCAATTCTAGTAAACATTCTCGTTATACCTAATTCAATCACCAATTATTGACGATGCTGCTTTTAGTTGTAAAACCGTTCATAAATTTGGGCTTTACATCACACAAATTTCCGTGTTGTTTGTTTACATAATTTTCTCTGCAACCTGCGCAAATAGAGTTATTAGTTCTTCATACCTTATCAAATATACGTAAATAATTCTTTGTGTTTGCCAAGAAAATTGTATTTCATATAAAAGCGTCTTTGAAAATACAATTATCTGTAGTTAGAAGACGCCGTATTTCTTATATGGCGATAATTATGTCGCTGAGGTAATTATAATAATTGCTTTCAGAGACATATTAAATTTATTCCTTTTTAAGGGTTATGCTTTGGATTCTAAACTTTTATAATATTATTTTATTAGCAATAAAATAGAATTATAAATTTGTGAAAAAGTTCATCCAGGGAAGTACTATCACCTTACCTATTTCTGCCGCCAAAAAGTAATGTAAGCATTACTGCGTTCCGCTTTTGAAGGGTAAGGGTGCTGGTGAAATTACAGGCACATGGGACATTTCAACTTATGTCTCAGGGTGATGGGCGCAGAGGCAGTGCATCTCAGATCTTTGCGATTTAAAGCTCTGAATGGCACTGTCACTGTTATAGACAGGCGTGTCGTTTACCATCAGGCGTACGACTTGTTCGTCTCATCACTTGGTATTATTAAAAAAAAATCAGTAATTTCTGTTTTCTCTGCGATAAATACGCACTGAACACCTTCCTGCGAACTCCCTGCAGTTGCCACCTAATTGTTTGATGTTAAAAAGAAAAAGAAAAACGCGCACGACTTGTACGTCCTACAAGCCATTTATCACTTAGCGCCATAAAAAAAAATTGTAGGTACCTACATATAGCACTGTAAAAATTTGTGACGAATGAAATAAAAATGTAATTCAAATTGACTAAATACTTGGCTTGATCTATTTTTTAAACATCATTAATACAAATAACGTCTTTTCTGTAAATTAGAAACGATAAATAAATAGTTGTATCAATAAATAAAATCCACTTCAACAACCTAAATTTGTACTTCAGGTACGTCAATATTTATTCCACTCGTAATACTATACCATAATTGTGGTAAAAATATCCTAATCTTAAACATCTAATGTTATCTTTAAGAAAGCCTTTAAGACAACATCAAAAAGGCGAATAGTATATAAAATCCTCCATTGACCAACCCACCATAAAATTTTTCAGCTGGTTGTGGCAAAAAAAAGGGAAATTTTATATTTTTTTTTGCACAAGCTAAATTAATAGTTTTTTGCTACTCATGCCCGTAAAGTTAGTTATATCCTTCAGCGTAAGCGAACTAAGTTGCTTTTGCGGCTAAATATGTTATGTGAATTGGATGTTTCACAACCTTGTTGAACTATCGGCTTTACTACTTTAAACATTGATATGATCCCAAAGTAAGTACCTAAAGCACTTGGGTATGGAAATCGGAAACAACAACGTTACAACAAATACCCAGATTTTGTACTTTGATCCGCCTGCGGGTTGTATCCGGGACCTCAGGGATCACAACACCATGAAAACTGGTGTGCTAGCCACACGAGCTCGGGGGTCGTCGAAAGCAATGCAAATTTGTTCTTATTCATCCTCTAAAAAAAGGGTAGATTACTACGCAGGCCAAATACACATTGGTTTAAAACAAGAATACACATTGGTTTATTAGCCTGTGTAGGTTGATAAATCTCTTTTTCTAACCATTCGTACACTCAGGATACTTCATGGTATTTTGTTTTTAAAGCGTACCTACGCTCACAAAGAGCGTTATCAAGAAAAAAAAATACGATATTTAATAATAATATTAATAATAATGCCTTACCGTACAGCTGACGTTTATTTGGTTTCGCTAGCCGTACACATCATTACTATTTACTTTGATGTCTGATTTACGAGTCGACGTACTCTACTTCTCATGTAGCTCCCAACAAAAGGCGACAAATGGAATAAATTTACAACTTTCATTACAAAAAAGAGATTTAGTGTTGAAAATGTTGTCATACGTGCTCTTATATAACTTTTGTATTAATAAATAAAATAGGATTGTGGTATTTAGAAAGCACTTACTCTTAACAAAAAGACGCATGATATAAATGTATAATATCCACTTAACGTCCCTCACCCACTCCTTTTGTACCGTCAAAGAGGCGTATTATGACGAGACCGGAGGCATTCTTAAATTACACGTCAAAGGCTTTACATTGATCCGCGAAATGAAAATTCTGAAAAAACATATAAAAGACGCGGTATCTGCTTTGACGCCGATTCTTCCGTTCGGGGTCTCAGAATCATGGGACGATCTAAATCCAAGACTGTTCCACGCCGTACACATTTATTGGCTAAAATTCTACGGGATGTGGTACAATGGCTTCTCGCCTAAAAGCATATTGTTTTGGCTGCAGCTTTTGTACACCGTGATCGTGTTATGGCTCGTGTGTTTTTTGCCCGTGATTGGGGAGGTCGTTTATTTACTCAAGCGAACGGAAAATATTGGGGACATCGCTGAAGGGTATATACATTTCTCCGCATACTTTCTGTACTCTGCTTTGATTATTGATGGGATTTATTTAATTAGTAAACCGATTGTTAAGGTTACCCGACACAAAATGTTGTAGGTACTCGCAGATCTTTTTGAGAGAAATGAAACATTTTGTGTTGTATTGTATAATCTATATACATAAATCAGTAAGGTTCTGAGCAATTCACTGGTAGGTGCGCGCAAAGCAAAAACTACTTGAGAGCAACTTACTTTTATTAAGTGTAGGCGTACTAAAACTGCATTTATAGAAATTCAACCCCTAAGAGGGTGATTAAGAGTAAGAATGTTTGTATGAAAAATAGTATTCCATGAAATTACAAAGATGAAACTTAGTATAATTCTATAATGGAAGTGGGAAAAAATTGCCATGACAATTTTTCAACAAATTTTTCAATTCAAAACTACTCCTAAATAAGAAATGGGTGGATATTAAAGTTTATATGGGGACTTTGTAACACGCGTTGCGATTTGCTTAAACTTTTTATTATATTATGATACTTAAATACAATATAACTAAATACGTGTTTCAATGTTTTTCATAACAACCTCTATCGATATATTTAAAAATATCTTTTCTACAGAAAATCGTATTCCTTACATTTGCAAACTGGAATATTTTTATTTGTGTTTTAGTGAGTAAATTTTACGCGAACGAAATCGCGGGCAATGGCTGGTTACATGTATGTTCTATAACTACATTCATACATTAGACACGACGGAAATAACTTTTACTAGATGCCAAGCTATATTCAATTTCAGACAAAATCACTCAGGAAGACGAATCTACTGTTCACAACTAGGCAACCAAGCGTTGGAAAACTTTGTCTTAGTATACATTATACCTGCTAGTTTCTTAACTACATTTGTATTGCAGGTTGTACTTATTCCTAAGTGAAACGTACACTTATTTCAAAGTGGGTGTTTTCTGGATGAACAAAGAGAAGATAATGAAAAGTCTGGAGTACTTGCATTGCAAGGAGTTTAAGCCAATGGAGGAGGAACATCGGGATATATTGCGTCGCAGTATTAAGAAGGCACGGTTTGTAATGACGGCCTATTCTTCTATGTGTGTAGGTGCTGTATCAGGTTAGTACATCAAATAATGTACCGTTCTTACAGAACGCAACAAAAATATTCGATAATAGTTTAGAATATGAAAGTGCCCATGTCACTGAAATATACGGTACTTATATGAAGTCAACACCATATGAGTTATTAAGCTTATTCTGGACACAAAAACATTATATTGTACAGGCTCAAAAAAATCTAAAAATATTCTTTCTCATCACATACAAAATTTATATGTAAAGGGATATATGAATTGAAAATATTTAAATATAATAAGTGTGTATTTACAAAAGTCGTTGAACGAACGCTACTTGGTTACTTTCATAATAGTCTCATAAATATTACCGCCAATTACATGAATATGGAAGTAAATTATATTTTAGCTATTTTAATCTACAAAAATGTTGAAACAGATTTCTAAATTACATTATGTGTTGTCGAAAGCTGCTCTATAATTCTGAATAAAGCAATTATCTCTAAACATTTGGCGGTACTTTAATAACATTTATAATATATTATTTATAATATATATATATATATAATAGAGTATTTTTTAACAATAAAATGTATTACTAACGAACTTCACGCTTAAAATATTTCACTCCGTCTCATGACAATATTAATTTGCGAAAACTCTCATTTACGTTAATTAATATTGCTATGCCTGTTATATTGCTTTGTCGCCATTTCAGTTGGAATCATTATGCCTTTGACTGAAAATTTCGACATTCTGCCGACGAATGTCGAATATCCGTACCTGGATGTGTACAAATCGCCCGCGTATGAGATCATATACGTTCATCATGTAAGTTTAATCTGCATTCCCAAAATGTGCGTACACATTCGCGAGAATAACGTACAATTTCGCTCTTGTTTACAACCTACCAGCCAAATTGAATTTGTAGTGGTTTGTTTACTCTAAACTACTTGTTGTTAGTTTCTACCACTTTAAATGTTGTTTTTGGAAAATTCATGAATATCGCAGGCAGTTTATAAAACCTTCACACTGCTATTAATTTTTTTTCAATAACGTTTCATTTTAAAACTTCAATGATAACTTACTATCAAGTATCAACAAAAAACTATTTTTCTGCTTCAAAAATAATTTGTATAAATAGCTACGTACCTATAGCGAGCTTACGTATATACCTAGTCTCTCCCTAATAATTTATATATATGCGTAAGTGTATAACAGCAGATTTATTTTCAGCTATGGTTGAGACCGTTCCCGTCGCAAAAGTTGTTCCTTAAATGCCACTTTAAAATCTCTAATACTTTTAGTGGCACGCAGTATTTTTATATAATTGAAGAAAAATTTTAGTTACGCAATTCATACCTTCAAAGAAACGTTTAGAATGTTTATTATAAACGTCTCGAAATCTCCGGCGCGCGGCAAATAACAAATTTCTTTTTTTAAGCAATCCATTTGTTTGCTACCAAAAATATCTGAGGAAAATACGGAGGAAAATCATTTACATGTGTTCTGCTTTGCAGGGAGCAAATTGCGTAGTAGGTTATTAAAATTATATTCCAAATCAAAATATATAATGTTTTTTATGAAATAAGCCATGTTCATTTTCCACCTAAAGTTTTACTTATTGAATTTAGAGAGATAAGTTATATCGTATGAAATGTTCACGCAACTCGATCGTTTTTTTTTTAATTGGAACGTTGCCTTCTGCGTTAGCAAAACTTCTGATGGATTCATTAATTAAAACAAGAATTCTGTATAAGACCTCTGTACTTCCGTTTTGAAGGCATTCTAAATCTGCTTAAAAACTTGAGATATTTTTAGAATCCGGTACTTTTGAAATCTGGTATGAACGTGAAAACGGCTCTTGTGCCTGAAACGCCCTTCGTGCTTACTATCTTGTACAATCTCTCCTGGACCTTTTCGAATTATCCCACATTCACGTTTTTCAGGCTATGTACGTGTTCTATCCACTGTTGTGTTCCCTCGAGTCATCAAAAAGTATACAAATAAACAATTTAGGAATGAAGCTAATTCTTCGAATCTAGATCGCGTTACTTCAAATAAACCAACGTTTTGGGCCCACAGTCACAGTAACACGTCCCGTAAGTTAACAGGTCCCGTAGTCAAGGTTGACTCGGAATGTGACTCAGACTGAGTCAGCCGTGTCCATGGAACATGTCAAGGGCCCGAAGAACTCGATAAATAAAGAATTTGCCATAAACATGACACAACATACATATAAATATCGCTGGGAGGTCTCAGTAGTTTCATTTACTCACTGTGTATTGTACAAGGAGCACTCGTTTCTATTATTTCACTAAATAAATCTAGTGTTTCTATCAAATTCCTGATTTAGTTTAGTGAAATGACAAAATAAACACGTCCTTGATTACCCTTGCTGCCGCACATTTATCCCCTCCTCCGCTAGCTATCACAGCACCCCGTGTTCGCCCACTCACCCAAAATGGCTCGGCTAGCACACGCAGTTATTACGGATGTTGTGGTTGCTTAGTATTCTCACGACAACTATCGTACGGCACTTGCGCGGCAGGTTACTTCTTTGTGACATATATGTAAAAAAGATCAAACCCATTTAATATACATACATTTACGTCCTTTTAAAAGGTAGTTTGTAAATAAAATCCTATACGAATGCTCCTAATTTCGAATTAATTGAATTCTAATTTGTCTGAAATTTCTCTTTGTGGCTAATGGTGGATTTTACAGATCTATTACAAACCGGCCACGTGCATAATCGATGGCGTCATGGATACTATGTTAGCCGCCTTTATTGCTTCGGCCAGTAAGTATGACCTAACAATAAGGATTAAGGATAATCGAATGTTAGAATATTAGTACCTCTATCACGTGTTTCCAGAGTTGAAATCACCAACGACGACAAATGATGACAAGTACCTACTTAGGTACGAGAACTACTTAGTTCTCGTAACTATTGTCGCTTAAAGATCTGTCCAGACATAAGCATTATTCCCTACAGCTATGGATAGCGAAAAATGTCATTGTATGAAGTTCCGCGGCTAGAGCGCCATATCGCCCACATAGGCGGTATCTTTTCGCTTGTTTTGCGAAGCAGGTATCGCCAGCCACACGATGCGGGAGCAGTGGCAAATTCATCCCTCCGCAAACTCCACAAGTCAGTTAGACTACTAACATTTTGACTGCATATTTACAGTTACTGTGTGAAGTCGTTATCAACTTCATGTAGTCCAGGTCTCGGATAACGACATCATATTGTCAAGGTCTCGGATAACGACTTCACGCATTAACTGCATGAAGCCGAAATCGACTTCATGCAATCGAGTTCGACTTCATGCGAGTTAATGCTTGAAGTCGTTATCAACTTCATACAGTCGAGTTCGACTTCATGCAGTTATAGCGTGAAATCGTGAAGTTGATAAACTTCATACAGTCGAGGTCTCGGTTGCATAAAGTTGATTACGACTTCACGCATTACCTCCAAATATGCAGTCAATCCGTTAGTAGCCTAGTGACGATTAGTTGACATAATAATAAATAATGGATTTCGCCACCAACAGCGGTAACGATATCTGATTAGGTGTGAACAGTGAGAATACAGCGTACCCACTCAGACTGCGCTACCCACAGCGGCAGCGATTAACGCTTATATCTGTACAGGCCTTAACACTTATGATATAGCTACTGTTGTCGAAACAAAACAAAACACGTTTGGAGCAATTTGTGTTCTCATCTGCTTCCAAGCCTTTTTCGTGCATTGGCGACCATTACAAGAATGCACAATCACATGCTGTTCTAAACAGTTATCTGGTCATTTGATCAAACATTGCCCGAGATTTTTAAACTTTCGAGTGTTTTGCACCGACCTGAATCTTGAACGGCCTTGGACGTGTCCTTAGATGTGTATAGCCTGAAATCACTCCCTTAACTAATATCTACTGGAGCAGTTTTGTATCCACATTATCCTAGGGTGCACTGATAAACAAAAATAAAGATATATATGTACATTATTATAATTTTATTGAATATCATTATGTTTTTTACTACCATGACACTGAAATAATTTATATGACTTCACTAATTTCTTATTATTACCGATCTGCAACAAGCACATGGAGAAATTCATTAGGTCTGCTGATGCGATCTGTTACTGAATTCGTAAGAGAAATAGCATGTATCAATTATAAAGCAGGCATACTTACGCACTTGTATTATCTAAGTCGTTGTCGCAAGTGTAAAAGATAGACCTACCTGTCTCTTATACTCTACATCATAAGTTCCCAAACTTTTTGACTCACCGCCCACTAAGCCAAGATAAAAAAATTTCAACGCAAATCACCACAAAATACTAATTGAAAACTCGAATTTTTGTTTATTAACTTATTAACACAAAAATCACAAGGAAAAAAAATGTATTTTTATTTTTTTATTTAATAGTTTATTGTACACGAAAAATACAACAAGTCACAAAGAATACAAGCGAAATTAAAAACAAAAGGTTCTGCTTATTTCTAATAGAAATTTCTTCCTGCAGACCTAAATACAGGACACTATAACTAAAAGAACGGGCATATGTGCACAACAAAACAAGAAAAAAAAATTATAATATAAAAATAATATAAAAATATTAAATTGTTTTAAATTATATAATACTTAGATAAATACATATTTTATAATATAATACCTAAGATATGGATGAAATAGTAGATAAATAATGCTCTTTAACTCTCACTTTAAAAATAGCTAACGATTTACTTTCGTGAACAGTAATAGGAAGTGCATTCCAAAGTCTGACCGCATGAACAGTGAAGGAGTGAGAATAGAAACCGGAATTGAAGCATGGAAAAGATAACTGGAACCTAACAAGAGAGCGACAGGGTTTATCCTGGGACCTAAGGAAGCTGAAACGGTCTTTCAGGTACCCGGGAGACACAGGGTTATGTAAAATATTGTAAAGAATGGAGACAATATGCAAATTCCTGCGGAGATGGATGGGAAGCCATTTGAGCTGACTGCGGAAATGTGAAATTCGGTCATATTTACGAAGCCCAAAGATGAACCTTATACAATGTTTTGCAGTCGTTCAAGCTTATTTAGCAGTTCTTCAGTAGCATCCAAATAGCAGGAATCAGCATAGTCTAAGAAGGGCAAAATAAGTGTTTGGACTAAACATATTTTGGTTTTTAAAGGTAAATCGTTTTGGAGGCGCTTAAGTGAGTGCAAGGAGAAATGGACTTTACGACTGACTTCATTAATATGTGGAGTCCAAACCAAATTACAATCTAGAAGCAAGCCAAGATTAGTTGCAGTAGAAGCATAAGCAATAGGCGTGGAATTATACGCTATAGGTGGGACAGAATCTAGATGCAATATGCCACGCATATACCCACTTCCCACAATCATAGCCTGTGACTTTTTGGGATTCACCAACAAACCAAAACACTCAGCCCAATGAGCGATGCAACGTAAATCAGCATTAACCGCTTCAACGGCTGCAACGACATCAGACGCTTTAAAACTGCGGTATAGCTGCAAATCGTCAGCATAGAGATGAAAGTTTGAAGACAGCACAAAAGTGACAGAATTGATGAAAACAGAGAAAAGGAGAGGGGAAAGAAAACCACCCTGAGGAACGCCAGCAACTAAGTCACACCAATCAGAGGAAGCCTCGTCAGAGCGAATGCACTGCGAGCGGCCTCTGAGGTAGGAGTCGAACCAAGCTATAACCGAAGGAGAAATATTAAAAGAGCGAAGGGAAGCAAGCAATACGTCAAAGTCCACAGAGTTGAAAGCACTGCTGAAGTCCAGAAGTATAAGCAAAGTGAGAAGACCGTTGTCCATTGCGAGGCGAATATCATCTGTTACCTTCAACAGTGCAGTCACAGTGCTATGGCCAGAACGAAAACCTGACTGAAATGTAGTGTAGTTTATATAGATAATTCAGAATATTTTTTTCAAATGCGGTAGCACCCCTTGGAGAACATCATTGCCCCCCAATTGCTTCCGCGGCCCTTAGTAACTGGGGGTCCCCAACCGTCCCACAGTGGGCGCTGACGAGTCCTAGAAGGACGGTAGGAGGACCACTTTGGGGAACTATGCTCCATATATTATGTTGTGAAAAATATTGATAACCACTTCTTTCATTGTTCAGTAAATCGATTTACAAGTTGATTTTCTATGTTTTCTTTATTTCTTTTCTTAGCGATGTACTAAGTGGAAAGGGAAACCTTTTCAATTCAATAAAGGGAAATTAAAAAAAAATTGCTTCTTTCTCGATTTATATCGGTCGTTTTATTCGATGTGAAAAGCGGTGCAAATCGTAATAACATTCCGAGCGAATTAAACGATTTTCGCAATTTTCAGTCGGGCAAATAGAAATATTAGCGTTTAACCTTCGCAATTTTAACACGGTGGCGGAGAGGCGACGCAAGAGAGCCATTTACGAGAACAAATGCGATGGAAACGACGCGCAAGACTATTACGTACAAACCGTTTTCAAAGATTGTGTCATACATCACAACAGCATTATCAGGTTTGTTTTTGAAATGGTAATAAGTATAACGTTATTCTAATTTATATAGGGAAAAACAGTCGAACACTGATTGTATAGAAATGTGCAAAATATAAAACACCTGTTATTATGGTACGACTTGAAAAATGTATAATAATGGAAGGCAATATCTTACTGTTTTGTAAATAAATGAGATAGAATTAAATATTTTGGTTCCATAATTACGTCATATATATATATATATATATATATATATATATATATATATCAAATAATTGAATCAATACACTAGTACTTATTGATTCAATTATTTTGTATTCAAAGGAGTAAGTATATAGAGAAATTCCTTACTATGTGTATAAAGTTTCAATCATTGTAACCTTCTTTAATTAATCTTGTAGAGTTTAACATGCAAATGCTATGCAAACAGCTAGCATGTCTGTCAGTTTCACAATGGCGAAGTTTGCAAATGGTTTTGATTTCAGATACGTGGCGATGATTGAGAGTGCATTCAGTCTAGCGTCCGCGCTGCAGTTTATGCTAAGTGTCATGGTCCTTTGTCTCATCGGAATACAATTTTTATCGGTATGATTTAGTGTTTAGATGTTTTTTTTGGTGTTTTTAGTGTTTTCTTTAAACTTTGTTGTACGTATTTGTTGAATAAAGTGATTTTCGAGATTTAATTTACTACTCATTGAAATATTTAAATGCTTCAATGAATGGACAATATATTTTGCGTAATCATAATAATTTAGCTCTTGTTCGCAGTTTCTCTATCAAAGATTAAAAAATGTGTTTTGTAACTACAGCTATTTGTCAACACAGTTTAATTTTTATTCTCTTTTTCGTTTATATTATTTTTAAACCCCGACGCAGAACGAGGGGAGTTTTATATTTGAAGCCTAACATTGACTTTTCGTACCATGACGCGCTTAAAGTAAGCTTATTATAATGTTAAAACTATGATGTTTTATTGGCAGCTTTGTGACAATTCATTCACTCAGTTCGTACTATGACGCGATTTTAACATTAAAGTAATATTGTTCTTATGCCAAATTTAGCAATGTTAAATAGTTACACAGATGCAATGGAAACAATATTATTTTGGAATTTATTGTCTAAATATTGATTTGTAATGATTAAAAGTTAAGTTGAACTTTTTATTTACATGTATCTTTTCAATATTTTGTTTCTTTTTTATTTAACAATAATAATAATAATAATAAACTGCCTCCATGACCGAACGGTTATGCCGACAACGACGACTGCCACGCAGAGGTCTCAATTTCGATTCCCGGGCCGGGAGAAATATTTGTATGGCCTATATTTATTTCTCTCGTGCGTTTGAGTGTAATTTGTGATTGTCTGTATGCCCATGGCACCCGCGACACGTTGTATGTTGAGTGTGTGTGATATAATAATAATAATAATAAGCCTTTATTCCAAAAAAAACTTCACAAACTAAATTCCATTTATACAAAAAATGCAAAAATTAAAATTAAATTAAAGTAAATTAAATTAAAATAGAATAGAATAGAATAGAATAGAATAGAATACATTTATTACAAAACACCACAACACAATAATAAACAGTAAAAAATTAAAAGTAAAAAAAAAATTAAAATAAAACAGAACTAAATTAAAACAAACAGAAAATTAATAACAAAAAAGAAAACTAAATCAAATTAATTAAAAATAAAATCTTGGCTATAAATAATTATTCGGCCATAAAGCTGGTCAACACTATTGCTGTACGAAGTAGATGTTATGTGTGCGGCTGTGGCGTATGTAATAGGATCCACTCAGCTAATGTCACCGCCGGGACAAGGCTGTGACGCTGATTTTCAGTGGACCCTAAAACCGAGTGAGTACCGGACGTGTGTGTCGCGTTTAAACTAAAATAAATTACGTATATATTTCTATAATGTAGTATGGTGTGTTCTCTTATATTTATAAAATACTTAAATAATTCATTTGATACATATATGCAGTGATAAGCATATGCAATGTAATGTCTATTATTTACAACAAACAAAAATGGGACTTATTTAGTTATAAAAGATATCAATTGCGAGATTTGTGTCACACACAAAATGAAATTAGAATAATTATAGTTTCAAATTTAAATATGCGATTTAAAATTTATTGGAAAGCCTATCTCTGGACGTAGGCCTCCTCCATCCTGTGCCACTCATCCCTGTCCGCAACCAGTCGCGTCCAGGTTATCCTCGTCACCTGGGTGATATCGTCCCTCCAGTGTTAACGCGGCCGCCCTCGCGGCCTACGGTTCAGTCGTGGGTACCAGTGGAGCACCCTCTCGCTCCATCCATGTCTGTAGACCTAGGTAGATGTCCAGCCCATCGCCATTTTAGACGACAAGCCATTTTTGCCGCATCTATTAGCTTCGTTTATTCGTTTGTTCTTAGCAATTTTCTGCGGTATCCTATTGACACTGTCTTTGATTTTGCAGATTATATTTAAATAAGTATCTTGTATATTTCGTGTACTGTCCAATATGGTAGACAACTCTATGAAATTTTTATTTAACATTGCTTGTTCGGAGGGTAATAGTCCTATTTGTTTTTTGCCAAATGTAAAAATAATAAAATATCTTCTAGATATCTTTTGTTTCAAGTTTAAGGCACAAGTCGCACGGAGCATTCGGTGGTCAGTGGGATGTGAGGTGGTAATTGTCTCTACGTTCTGTACTATATGGAGGTTTGATCTATGTAATAGAAAGAAATCAATTTCGTTTCTTGTTTTACCATCTGGCGTGCGCCAAGTCCATCTTTGTTTAGTTTTTTTCTTAAAGTAAAGTAAAGTACAGTTTTCTGAAATTAAAGAACTTCCTCTTTTATTTCTGTTACCATATCCTCATGCGCTCATTACTGCGTTATCTACTTCAAGTAATTCTTTTTTGGTGGATTGCTCTATCGGCGCATAAACTTAAATAATACTTAAGGAATAATTTTCAATTTTCATATCCAATCTAGCAACTCTATCGGTAAAGGCTTGAAAGTCTAAAATCCCTGTTTTCATATTTTTCTTTACCATGAATCCCACTCTGTTTCTTCCACTTTTCTTTCCCGTGTATAATACATAATCTTCGTGTTCTATGTGTTCCTTCTTTTTTAACTTCGGACAATCATAAAATATCCCATTTAATGTTTCGTAATGCGTATTCTACTTCTTCCTGTTGCCCTTCTCCTACTATAGACCTTACATTTAGTGTTGCTATATATAACTGTTGAATGGAGGGTATGGGTCTTCTACTCCCTCGGGGACCAGCCGGACTGGGAGAGTTGTTTTTTAATTATTTTGTAATTTCTATGTTTTACGTGAGGGGCCTGTTGTCGTTGCTATTCTCTCTCTAATATACTAACTTTCATTCCTGATGTCGAAGGTTTTGTTGTATTTGGTTTTGTTGCTATGTATGAGTGTATTATTGTTTTATTCTTTTTGACGTTATTTGAATGTGAGTTAGTTCTCTGTGCTACTGCGGGTGGTGAATTTGGTTTTCTTAGAGTTCTATTCAAAGGTCGTATTGGTATTTTCTTGTCTGTTCTCTAGGTTGATTATCTTGTCATATCGCACGATTACCTTCTCACCTTGTCCCCTTCTGTTTGCATATTCTTCTACACTTATCTAAAGTGACTAAAAGAACGAATGACTTCTCGATATTGCCTATTCCTTACTAAAAATAGGAAAAAAATAACGCTACATGAACTGTATAATGCAATCTCTTTGTTTTTGATGTTCCGACTCGTCGTATCGTAGTATAATGTTAAAGTACTTAATATTATTTACTTTCGGAGAATTTTAACTGCCAAAAAAAGAAAAGTATATAATAATGAATTCTATTAAAATAACGTAGTTTACAATTAGTTTTCTGCATTTTCATGAAGAAATATAAATAAAACAAGCTGCGTCTTGATTGTTACGCTGTGAATTCGGAATTATAATCTGGCGTTAACTGTTAGTTTCACCAAGGAGCATATAGATGTCGATGTCATAATTTTATGAAGTAAACATCGCGTATTTTTGTTTAACGAGAAATTATTTCCTATTTACTATTAAATAAAAAATAAGCAAAGAATTAAAGAGATATATGTAAATAAATAAGTTCAACTTAACTTTTAATCATTAAGACTATAAAACAGAAAATAATATTGTTTCCATTGCTTCCGTGTAACTATTTTGAGATTGCTAAATTTGACATAAGAGCAATATCAATGTTAAAATCTCATCATAGTAGAAGTGAATGAATAGTCACAAAGCTGCCAATAAAACATCATAGTTTTAACATTATAGTAAGCTTTTAGCGCGTCATAGTACGAAAAGTCAAAGTAACCTTAAAATAATATTGTTTTAAGAGGTTGTGGTAAGCCCCCTGAAAGCTGTTTACTTTTATTTATTGGAATGCTAATTTGATCTAATTTGATGGTTCTCAGGTATGTTTTGTAGTAACAGTAACATCTGTTCAGTTGTTTATAAATCATCAATTTTTTTCCAGTTAATCTGGATCTCAATCATAAAATGTATATTTATTTCACTTCCACTTGACTTTTGAAATTTGATTTACTATGGAAATCCAATGACATTACATTAAAAAGAAAATACCTACATTATTAATATAAAATATTAGACAACATTTCATACGTTGCTCTGAACCCAAAGTAAATAACTAAAGCACTGGTGTCATGGAAATCAGAAACAACGACGGTACCACAAACACCCAAACCCGAGACAATATAGAAAAGTTAGTTTTCTAAAGTGACCCGACCGGGGATCGAACCTGGGACCTTGGAGATGGCGAATTCCATGAAATCAGGTGTACAAGCTATTCGACCGTGGAAGTCGTGAAATAATATGTGTAATAATATAAACTATACAAGACGGCGCATTCGCAAAATAAATGGCGTCATGTCTAATCGATGGTCGTCTTTAAAACGATTCTAGCGCTACCTAACATCAATAGTAGAACGATCGCCATGCACTGTGAAGGCGGCCATCTTGAGCGGACGGAACGATCTTTGGGTCGTGGTGACGTGCGCACACACACACGTGTTTGGTGGACGTTATTTTGAATCTGTATTAATTATAGCCGTCCTGTATTGTTTCCTTCATATAGTGATTGTATGATCTCAGTACAGAGTAATAAAAAAACCGACCTCAAAAGTACGTGGAATTACATCTATTTGCTAAGTTTTATTGAAATATCCCCTAGGTCGCCACTATATAGGACTTGACACTGAAGATAATAAAAATCGGTTCTCACTACTCAAAGTATATTCAGAGAAAAACGCCTTGAATTGGAGAAATAGCAAAATCAACCACTAAAGTAATTGCTCCTAAATTAAAGTTAGGCGCTATTTATAAAAATGAATCTTCATGCGCGAACAGCCACCCTTCGAGGTGGATGATTTTCTTCAAAATGAAATGGAACCACTATGGAAGTACCACCTTTCCAACAAAAAAGAATCATGAAAATCGGTTCACAAATACCGAAGTTATCGCGTAACATACATACAAAAACAAAAGAACATACAGTCGAATTGAGAACCTCCTCCTTTTTTGAAGTCGGTTAAAAATTAAGAATAATAAGAGAAAAAATTAAGATAACCCATATTTTAATAAGATATCATCTACTCGCTCGATCAACCACGCCTAGCGAGAAAAACAAATGGAAAATCTTTCTGATGGCGACCCAAGTGCCTTCATGTGCAATAACAATAATATCGTCTGTTTAAACATAATAATAATAACGCAACACACTCATAGTCCCGTACTAGGGAAAACCAGTGTCGCTGGTGCCATGGACCCCACATTGACAACTACAAATTACACCCAACCTCACGACAGATATAAATGTAGGCCATACACATGTTTCTCCCGGCCTGTGAATTGAACCCAGGACCTCTGCGTGGTAACCGTTCGGCCGCAGAGGCAGTTAAAGGTAAAACAAAGGCTGCTTAAAGGTACACCTTTAAGCAGCCGCGACACGGGTATTTTTAAGATATGGTACCTATCGGCAAGTGTGCAATTACCCAAATCCTCAACTACTACAACAGTTGAGGAGTGTTTTCACTAGCTAAATTGGTCTCGACAAGCAGTTGGCTTACAGATGGTGATTTCTAGAGTACACTGTTTTTAAAATTTAAACTTAATTAATTAAACTAATCATTGCTCTAAAACCTCTCATGTTTATGCACAGCAGTTAATAATGAACTGACGTATTTTAATTACAACGCCGTCTTAAAAAAACTGTTGTACTATACGAGAAAATTTCATTCTTCTATCTAAAAGCACAAAGCATAATCTACAAGCTATTGTAGTCGAATTTTTCATGAAAGTAGGTGAAACTTTTCCATATCGTTGTGTTCATTTTACTTTGGGCTGACGTTTGAAAAGACGACATTCAAGCAAACTGGGTACGAGCCATATATTTTATTGTACATTTCTACAAACATACTTGTGCAGTTGAAAAAGCATCACATGATAGTAACATTTTATTTTTATCTGCAAATACAAAATGGTGACGTTGTATATCTGACAATCCTCAGCGTTTGAATCGGATTGAACTCCTTTCATCACTCGTAAATCTTGGGCTGAGACAGAAATCTAACACGAGTACGTGTTGAGGCGAATGTGTGAGAGAATTAGACCAGTCCGCTTTATTTTCAAAAGTTTAATTTCAACAGCCAACGTATCATGTATTTGTTCTTGTATGTAATAAAGTATATTTATTTATTGTATAACAACGTAGATTTAAAAGGAATCGGAGAACATTACATTTTTATTATCGAACTCCGTGAAAAAATCCATTATTTATTATATTATTATTACTATCTTTTATTTATTTATTATTATTATTATTATTATTATTATCTTTTATTTATTATTATTATACTATATATACCTCGATTACCACTGACTGACTGACTGACGATGACGCAGTGATTTAGATAACTGTTCTCCCAGAAGAAGTCGCGGTGGGTAAAAATGACGTACGGGAGTCGTGGTCGGATGGGTCCGGTGAGTACCAGAAAAATCCGAAGTCTTCGAAAAGTGTATCAGGTGGGACCCTGGCTGCGCGGCTAAAGCATAACACCTACCGGCAGTGTCGTCGAACTAAAAATGGCCACCAAACTGGGCGGTTTCTACCGGAAGTAAAAAAAATTAAAATTCGAATAAACAAGATGGCCGTCATACAAATTTCAGAGCCCTGTAGCTCTGCGAGTATTGGAGATAGGCGGGGGGTCCTCGACCAAATGTCATAGAGGGCGGTGGGGGTCAACTGCCGGTGAAAAAAATTTTTCACGATTGCCGACTCAAAATTGGGGCCCAAAAAAAAAGTGCTCCGATACGGCTCAAATTTGGCATGCTGCCGTGTAAGGGGGCCCACATAGGAGTATGCGGTTGAAATTTCGATTCCGCCATATTCCAAGATGGCCATACTTGTGAATTTTCTGCCCTTTGGAGTCATTTTCCACCCAGAAGACGTGTGTAAAAATAAAGGGTGGGTAAAAATGATGTAGGGGAGTTATGGTCGGATGGGTTTGAGGAATATCAAGATGTACCGTAATCTTCGGAAAGTGCGCCGCATCAGGTAGGACCCCAGCTGCCCGGCCAAAGTATGCGTCTTGGCTCAAAGTCTCCAAACAAATGTTGCTCTACACCTTGGGCAGTTTCTACCGGGAGTAAAAATAATTCAAAATTCGCAAAACAAAATGGCCGCCATATAAATTTCGGGGATCTATATCTTCGTAACTACTAGAGATAGGTAAATTATGTCGATACGAGCTAATCGATTGGAAACCTCATTTTTTCAAAATGTCCGATTCAAAATGGCAACCCAAAAAAAATTCACCGATCGTGCTGAAATTTTGCACTTGGTCGTATATAAGGCCCCATAATACGAAATTGTGTCTGTGGTTTTTGATTCCGCCAATTTCCAATATGGCCGCCATACATTTTCCACTGTCCAACATCATTGTTCTCCAAGAACGAATAGAGGTGTTTTAAATAAATGTACAAGGATTGTATTTGACTCAGAATATTGAATACCAGAAAAATCCAAACATTCAAGAAGTGATCTGCATCAGGTAGGACACCAGCTGCCCGACCAAAGCGTCAGAGACGGGTGTATGGCTTTCAAACAAAAACTGTCAAGTACGCTGATCAGGTTCTACCGGAACCAAAAATGTTCCAATATGGCGAATCCAAAATGGCCGCCAAATAAAAGTTGACTTTACTGAATCTTCACAACTATTGATGATATACGAGTAGTTTCTTCTGAAGTATATAAGAATACGACTTGATGCAATTATAACTATTACCTGGCTCCCTTCCACCCAAATAAACCTAACTGAAAGAATCACCAATGAAATCAAAGTAATCACCAACCGACAGACGAAATTTTTCCTACACGTAATGTCACACTGCCTTCGCGGGCCGCTTTAGCGGCCCAGCGCAACATATGACAGTTAAGTCGATCTGGTTTCCGGGATAAACGGCCCGGCCAAAGCTTCACAGAGGAGGGCGAAGCCCGAAGCGTCCGCACGCCACCTCGCATAGGTAGTATACGGAGACTAAATTACGAGCACAAGATTTCACAATTGTTCAAAATGCAAGGCATACTTCCCGATGTAATGGAAATAAGATACTTATAGCGTTGTATGTCGACCGTCTCTCTGTTAGATTCTTTTTTCTTGGAAGATATGCCAGTGAAGTATTTAGGGAAAAATGCCAGACAATCACTCCAAATTTCTGGTCTCAAACTAAAGAATTTCCAGTACTATGAGTACCACAGTAACGATAATTCTGAGGGCAATGCCCAGAATAACCTGACCAGAACCAACGTAAATTTTTTTTGTCATAAATTGGCTCAAAACAGGGATCGAATCTGAAACCTCCTCATCAAGCGCACATAGTACTAATCACTGTGCCACCGACGAGCATAAGCACACCCCGTAATCTGAAACCGACCACGCGCCTCAGGCCGAGCCCGACCCCACCGTAGGTGGTATAGGGCTCATTATTATATATATCTGAACAATTTCAAATCGAAATTTAAATTACAGTACGTGTTAAATATTATCAATGTGTCTATCCATAAAATTTTATTGTAAATTTCTGTTTTATGGTATGTATTTATTTATGAACTCTATCCTAATGATAGTCAATTGAACCAGTCTTGCGACAATATTGTCAGGGAAACCTCAAAGAATAAAATTACTATAGATTGACACAATTGCCATGTAAATTACTTAGTCATTTTCTGAATATCGACCAGCCTACATGTGCTAAACGACAATCCGTCACACATTGAACGCTGATTTATAAATTCACATCAGAAATTATGATGAATGAGGGAACAAAGCTCAGGTTTTTTTTCCACGCTCACAACACATAAATCACCAAAACTGACAGATTTGTGTTTTTCGCTTTATCAGATCGAGGAGCCGACCAGTCACCCTATGCAAATGATGTGGATGGCAATCTATTTGACGTGTATGCTGATTGAGGTGTTCATACTTTGCTGGTTCGGTGACGATCTCATTTGGAAGGTTATACATTATATTGTTAAAATGTTATTATCTTAACAAACGCTCATGATGGCTAAACAGTCAGACATGCATTCGATATAATTGAGAGGTTTTGACCTAGGTTTGTAGTGAGATTTTAGTTTACTGGAAATCATTTTCTCATAAATCTCTGCTTTTCAGAGTATGCAGCTTAGTCAAGCAGCTTTCGAAGGACCCTGGTTGGACGTCAAACCGAAGACTGCAATATTCCTCATCGTGTTCCTTGAACGATGCAAGAGACCACTAACAGTCACTGCTGGGAAGATCTTTACCCTTTCTCTCGATACTTATACAGTTGTAAGTGCCTCTTCTTGTATGTAGAGAAATATCTCTATGATGAATACATCATCATCATCATTTAACAATAGTAGATCGCCTAGTGAAAAAGGATTATTCCAGGGAAGTACCGCCACCTTACCTATTTCTGCCGCCAAGCAATAATGTGAGCTGCGTATAAGACTTATCAATTTATGTCTCAGGGTGACGGGCACAGTGGCAGTACAGATTTTAAGACTTTCGTGGTTATTCACTAAATGATTATCAGTAGTATCAGGTTTCAACCCGGGTAGTCAACCCGTGACCATGGAGCGTGCAACCGTTCTGAAATATCGGGAAAATAAAAAGAAGTCATACCGTGGTAAGAAACCTGATACTAGTGATAATCATACAGTGGCAGTACACCCAGATCTTTATGATTTAAAGCTCTAAGGGCACTACAAGTGTTATCGACAGGTGTGGTTCACCATCAGGCGCACGACTTGTTCATTCCGTCACTTAGTATCGTAAAAAAAAACAAATACAGACATTGATGACATGAAATGCTTATTTCATTTATCTCTCACTCTGTCTTTTTTCGTTGCACTTTCTCGACTCTTCTATTAAGTAAAAACCGGTATGTAATAATATATTCATATACTAATTGTGTTGAATCCTAGAAAAAAGCTATAAATTCCTTTACACTTATACTCTATACATTTCGGCGTAGTTGTGTAATGGCGAAATACTAGTAAATGCAAAACATATTCAGCAACTCGTCTCTGGCGATCCAACCTGCTAACAAAATATAGTTTCTAACCCTTTTACCCACGGGACCTTACTGTAGCAAGTTTTATTCCACTATTCCAACACTATTAGATACTACACCTATTGTTAAGTAAGTACGTGAATATTTTCTAAATTGTGCTGCACTGTGGGGCTTGTAGTATAGTGAGTTTCTTAATTTAAGATCACTCAATTGGTTTTTTTTTTTCATATTTATTTGATTTAATACACTGACAGTCGCCTGTATTGTTGCCGACGTGTCGTGTAGAAATATTTAACAACTTAAGACATTCTCTGTGGTTCAACGGTTTGTGGTGGTGTGGTCTGTGGTCCCGGATTCCATTCCCGCTGGGATCAAATTGGGAAATTAACTTTCTAAATTGCTACTGGTCTGGGTTTTCTGAGAAGTGTCCCAGAGTGCAATGCAGGGGATTACCTAGTTTGAGACCAGAAAATTGGTTGTCAGGCACATTACTTGGTAGAAAGAGTTATGCAACTTGGCTTTTTAGTAGCAGTAGAGCTCCTCGTGAAGGAGTTCGTCCAGGGAAGTACTGCCACCTTACCTGTTTCTGCCGCCAAACAGTAATGTGAGCATTATTGTGTTTCGATTTTAAAGGGTAAGAGTACTGGTGAAATTACAGGTGGGTCTCAGGGAGACGGGCGCAGTGGCAAAGCTCTGAGTGGCACTGTAAATGTTGTTGCAGCTTACCATCAGGCGCACGACTTTTTCGTCCCGTCACTTGACATTATAAAAAAAGGCTGCGAAATAATTGAAAGTTTCTCGTTTTTTATTCTTGTTCTCCAAAGTCCTAAGTTTCGGGTCTTTTATTTTTATTTTTATTCCCGATATTTTATCCTTACAAAGTAGATGTTCTAAGAGCAATTTCTTTCCTCCTTTTTCCTCTTTTGTCTACGACTTTAGAGAATATTGAAAGCTCTAAGGATACGATGCGACGTGACATACTTATCTCTATTTGGTCAAAATAATTTATTCTCGGTCTTCAGCTTCGTGTTACCCCTAGAAGAAAAAACACAAACAGATTGGATTCAATTGCATACATGTTTTCTTTTTCAGCTAATCAACTGGGCTTACAAAGCGTTCGCGGTCATGAGAAATATGAAAAAGTAAGTCCTTTTTAGACGACTACGAGGTGTTATTATAGCTTTAAAATGAATTCGTCAAGAACTTTACAGCACCATTAAAGCAATTTGCATCATTAGGGGCTCCATTTGAATAGTGAACTAGTTTGAATGTTAAACAACCTGCCTTAGAACGTTTTAAATAAATGATTGCACGATATTTGCTTTTAATTCATAACTACCTTTAAAAATATTATAAACAGTAAAAAATTATTAATTTTATTTGAAATTTACCATGAACTTTTCGGAGAAGGAAAACATCTTGATGAAACCTGCCAGTCGAAGTTCACAACCCTTGAAGTCCCCAACTCGCATCGGGCTAGCGTGGCGGTCTGTGGCCTAAACCCTCGCTTAAAAGGATTTAGGTACATTAGGGGTCCCACGCCCAAAGTGGGACGTATAAATAGGTTGATGATGATGCATTACAGACGTGTTATCGACGAGTATATTTCAACTGTCGTGCTTACTAATTTATCCCTTATAAAATTCATTATCCAATTACGTCGCTTGATTAAGTAGAATAACTGCTTATATCGTTTTATGGGAGACAATAATTTAATTTTCATATCTCTAGTTTAGGAAACGTTTGAAATTACAGGCACATGAGATTTGTCAAATTATGTCTCAGGATGTCGAGCGCAGGGGCAGTGCCCCTCAGATCTTTGTGATTAAAAGCTCTGAATATCACTGCAACTGTTATGAATAGGCGTGTCGCTTACCACCAGATGCACGACTTGGTCGTCCCGTCACTTAGTATTATAAAATAAGTTGTTCTGTCACCTCGAGAAGTCAACAATTTGGGGAAATGTTGGATCGAGACCAAGACTATTCCTAACAAAGAATAGCATGGCTTTTTTGTATTATGTTATGTTATTTTCAGGCCACCGGAAGAAATACGCCAAGCTACACATTGACGTATCTTGTTCCGTTGCACTAGAGGCGATTTTTGAACAAAAATATATAGTCTGATGTGCCGTTATCCGTACGTAAATACGTATTTTATAGGTATCACATAACAAAGCAACCCCTACGAAGTGTAGTAACTGGAACCGTGCCTTGTATTTTGCCTTAATGCTGGCTTCTACCATGTAAAATAAAATTAAACAGAAAGCTATTGTTTTTAATGGCACGGATACAAAACAGAAGGAATTCCTTATAAGGAGCCTTTGAAATTTATTGGCGTTCCGACCTACGTCATACCCACTCGGCCTCGGAGTCAATTTACATAGGAATGTAATCAATTCACGTTTCTTTGTTCACCCAAAAATTGACTTCAGACGTAGAACTGTCATTTGCCAAAAAATAATTTGTATACATTATTTGGTTTTTTCATGGTTCTAATTGAAGTAAGTCCAAACGTCTTCACAAAAAAACAATATCTCTGCAATACACTTCAGTCAATCCGGCCTTATAAAATCGTGAATACAAGCTACTGATAGCCGAGAGAATAGAGGAAAATCTTAATTCTACAACGAGAATATGACGCGGACAAACCTGGAAACCTACGCTGACTCATTCAGTCAAAGTGTGTGAAATTCGTTAAAGAGAACGAATCTGGAGCAACGAATCGCCTACCAATTGAAGAGAAGAGAAGGGTCTATTCAAGTCGCGGAATATCAAGAAATCGCTCGCAACATAACGCATGGCGTAGACCAGTTGCAGAGACCAAAATCTGCTTGAGAATGCCAGAATAAGGGAATATTATAAGTTCTATTACAATTGTTCATTGTCGTCAGATTTTTAACCCTGTCTACGGGCTGATCTGGAATCAAGACCTGAACTGATAAGACACTTGTACGGGTCTGCTTACACAGGTAATAGTGGTCTTCCCGTATAATCAAGAGGTTGGTACAGAGGGGCACTATAATCAAAATGTAGATATAAGATATGGGACTGTATAAGACTTCGAAGCAGTGTTATCATATATTGTTTTGATATTACTCAACTAATGCCGTAGTTCCGCTAATTCATCTATTTTACATGTTATAACAGAATTTGAAGTCTGAAAAACAAAATTTTTGTAAATTAACATTTATTTAATCAAAATATGCACCTATTCTATGCCCGTCTTGCTGGAAGCTCATTTATTCCTTTGCGGTGAAATAGTGGGTAACGGTAATCCACTAAGTCTCAGTACAATTTCATTTTCGATTGTTTCACGAGAATGAATTTGCCTTTCTAGTAAATAATTATTTAGATTGCAGAAAAAAATGGTAGTCGGAGAAGGACAGGTGATTATGGTGGAGTGCTATCTGAAACTACTGTAAGATGGATGATTTGTTCAGCAGTGTGCAATCCAGCATTATAGAAGTAGTAAAAATATTTTTTTAACGCACATACTCAAGTTCCGCACTAGCGAAACCCAGTGCCATGGACATACACATAGACAACCACATATTACACCCAAACTCACGAGATAAATAAATGTAAATCATATTAATATTTCTCACGACCCGGAAATCGAACCAGGGACCTCTGCATGGTAGACCAGACACGGAGGCAGTTATCGATTCGTCTGTCAGTCGGTTTACTAGTAGTGGTTGTCATCTTTGTCAGCATTTCATCACAACAGCGATCATCTATCACGGTTGTAACAGATCTAGGGAAGTTAAGGTGGATTATTACGCGACTGAACCACCAAAGTGCTACCAAAAGTTTTGTGGACAATGTTTGGGCTTGTTGCTAGGGTTCAACAACGATTGTTCAGCTACTGTGTTAAACAATCCTATTTCCATCACGACTGACACCGTCGACAACGTATTCATGACTGTGTTGAGACATTAAGGCAGAGCAAGCAACAATACTCATCGCTCTTGTCTATTTCTCTTTATATTTAACCTATTTTACCTATTCGCGTTATTGTTGCTACTAATTCCTCCGTAGTTTACCAAGGACCAGCTTCAACAATACCTCGCAATTCATTATTATTTACAAAAGTCAATGTATAGTAAAGTATCGAAAGATACTCGATATAAAACTTGGAAACTCGATCAAGTCATACCCTTACCTAACGAGACCATTAAAAAAGTACAAGAAACGGCGATACGATCAGTATATTTAACTAATATAGAAATGAACATATATGGCATACTTACGAAGTTTCACTTTGAATGCAACTCGTAACTAGCAACTGCATTGACGAAGTTTGTTTCATAGGAATAAAGTTGGCCAGCTCAATTTTAATTTTCATGTGAGAGGTCGGAGAACTTCATTCAATGAAATGTAATTTAGCGAACTGTTTGAAATCAGCATTGTTTACTGATACTAGAAAATTAAATGCAGGACACAGGTCCCGATCTAGATCATTTTAAAAATTTGGTTCATACAAGTTTTCATGCGTTCAAATGCTTCACTCAACTTAACAAATGTTTGCTTTGCTTTGGAGCTCTCCAATTGAAGTAACTTAACTGATATAAGTATCGCCAAAAATATTTTATTTGAAGAAACCAGGAAAAGAACGATCAAAATTACTTATAACACTTAAGGCGGTGCGTCGTGCCCTAGGGGTATAAGGATTGCTTTGCACATAAAAAACACATAACAAATAAAATATTAGTTTGCTAAATAATACTGTTTTTTTTTTTTACCCTCTGAATAGGTGTAAGGAATGTCTAAGTCTTGTTCAAACAGAACAATAATTTCTAATTTTAATAATTCCGTTAAGTGCGGCATATTACAACAAGAAAGAAAACTTTGAAAGTAATTAAAACTGAATTGATAAATGGGAACGAAACGTGGAACAATGCGTAATGCGTTATCACAGAAGACACGATCGTAAGCAAATTGCAGAGCGATTTCGTGATTTATTAATCTATCAATACCCACCCTACGCTTTATTAATAATATCTGCCCACCCACCTTAGGCAAATTTCTAGTGAGCAAATATTTGTCAACGTTAACATTAATACTTTCAAAAATATAACGTTAACACAAAATAGTGCTCGTGAAATCGAACCACGGGTATGTAACTGGCAGTCCACACAATAAGCCGCTCGACCAATTCACTTTGATGTTAAATGACGAAATTGAGAATTGGTTTTAAAAATATGTTGTATAAGGAACACTCCACTGCATTGCTTACACAATAAAGTAGAAATTGCTTTAATTTTCTTTGTTCAATACGTAAGATGGCTCTCACAACCAAAAGGTCGGTTTGGGCATATTAGAGGGTCAGGTATCTTATGTATATATGACTGTACTTATGTTGGAGAATTTCACAACGAATGTAAATCTTAAAATAATATAATAATAATAATATAATCGTAAAATTGTACCATGTACAATTGTTTGTTAGGTATCCCTGTAAATAAATAAAATACTTCATATTTCCTTTAATGGCGGCCACTCGGCATGGGCCAGTGTCATTTTGTATGTATGTTGCCGTGTAATTCTGGTCGATAACGCCACGGAAGAAAAAAGCAATGGAAGTGCTTTAAGCCTCGATTAGTATCAGAACCGATGTCGCCAAAACTCACACATTCTTAATTTGAAACACTACAATATCTTGATTGATTGATCGTAGTTTCAAATTTAAAAAGAAATATCAAATTCTGGATTGTTAATATAATTTAAACTGTTACCCTTTTGGCATGTCGTTGAAAGTTCAATACCATGTATACCTATTATTGCAAGTTATGACGTTTTATTATATTGAAATTTCAATCACTGTGCTGCCATCTAGCGCTTAATTGCTGAACGAAAACGAATTGGAGTTATTAATTTAGTTCTCCGAAAAAGAAGCGATAATATCGTAGGGGTATAAGCTTTGCATTCGTTTGTTGTAACAAAAACATTATTTCGATGAACAGAAAATTTTAAATTTATTAAAAAACACTTTCCAATCATATGAAATATCACCACGGGTAATATTTTTGGTGCAGCTATCATTTTTGCACTCCAAAACAGCACAATAAGGCATTTTTCTAGGATTTCAGAGAATTTTTACAAAGCGAAAATGGCGGACTGAGTTCAGATAGGTCTTTCCAGACCTACATATAGTTAGCACGCGTCAGACGCTAACTAACCACTTCTACTGTATTTATTATTCTGTGGATAATGCCAACGATTAGGCAGCAATAAGGTATTTATCTCAGGTAAAGAAACAATCATGAATAAACA